TCTATCAGAATCTGCACTTTAACACGATCTCCAGGTGACTCACGGGCACATTAAAATTGCCGATGCACTGACACTATTGACATTTTGGGCTGGATACTTCTTTGGGGGAAATGCCCTGTGCTTTGTGGAATGTTTAGCAGCACCCCTGGCCTCTGCCCACCAGGTCCTAGGAGCAGTCGTGAAAGCCAAAAATGTCTTCACACATCCTCCCGATGTGCCCTGGGAGGCAGTCACCCCTCCGTTGTGACCACTGGGCTAGAGCAGGGCTTCTCAAAATGTGGTCCTAGACTGACAGCATCAGTAGGACCTGGAAACTTATTAGGAATGCAGATTCTCAGACGTCACCTCAGACCCACTGAGTCAGAAACTCAGGGGGGGTGGGGCTGAGCGACCCGTGTTTTGACAAATCCTCCAAGTGATTGTGACAAACACTGAAATGCGTTGGAACAGTGAGTCGTTCTCATTCCTGGAGGCACAAAAGCTTAGAACAGTAAATAACGCCCAGGACCCACCCCAAACCAGCTTCATCAGGTCTCTAGGAGTAAGTGACCAGGCGATTCAAACGCCCAGCCCAACAAAACTCAGAACCAACCCAGACAAATGCAGGAGAAGGGATCTGCGAAAGCTCACAGAGGTAGCCAATAAGAAGAGACTAGGACTCATGTCTCCTAACTCCCCGGTCCAGGGGCCTTTCCTCCAGGAGGATGACAAGGTGACAGACAGCCTCTTGAACTGGCTCCTGAGGAATTCCACACTCACAGGGCATGTTCAGACACATCTTGGATCAGAAGTCTCAGTGCTTGCAAAACGCTCTCATGTCTGAGAAGTTCCGTGACACAAACTGCCCGGTGGCGTTCAAAGAAGGAATTCACTGTGTTCATAGCTTTCTGGATTCCAGCTAAGAATTCTAGGCCCCAGATCTTCCTCTCTGCCTGCTGCCCCGCCCCTGACACCCTGCGGTCAGAATGTTTGCAGACTTCTTTCCACAGGGCTCCCTAGGTGATGTTGTCCTCTCCGGCAACACCAGAAACGTCAACACTCATATAAAAATGTTCGTCACAGGTGATAACCCACATAGTCACTCAAGCACCGCAGGACAAAAATAGGCAGAAGGAGCTTTTGAAATTCTTTGGGGAAGATAGGCAGTAAGTGGGTTTCACACGCTTCCCTTAGCATCCTCGCGCGCTGTTAAAAAACAAGCTCAGAAGACAGCACCTAGGGAAGCCAGACACTTTCTATGAAAGGCTCTCATGTTTTGTCGTGACCTGAGTCCAGACAGCTCCTGGCCGGCTCACAGTCCTCACCTTCACAGTCGTCACGACAATTCTGAGGACAGGGATTTAGCTCCACTTTGCTGCTCTGGAAGCTGAGGCTCAGAAAGTTCTCGCTGAGTGCTGACTACTGAGCTCTGTGCCAGCACTGGGAGGGATGATGGTTTGGCCAACCTGTACAGAGCCTGGACTTGAACGAAACGGTCAAGAGATAAACAATATGCCACGGGGTTGTGCTGATGATTAACTTTGGTCTCTTGGCCAAATCTGCTCCGTAATCTGCTCTGTGATGCCGGGGCTGGGAGTCTGTGAACCACATTTCCCAGACTCCTTTGCCAGCTGGCTTCCAATTAGGTTCCAGCACCAGGGGAGGTCAAGGAGGCTCTCTTCCTGTTTTGCCCAGTTCTTCCAGCAGCAGTGGGGAGCTCCCGCCCCTCAGAGTGTGTGATGCTGCAAACACGGGCTATGCCTTTGGGCTGCCCTCTGAGCACCACCATCCAAGCATCGAGGTCTCAGTGCCACCTGTGGAAAAAGTCCCAGT